CCGCGCGCTTGCAGGTATGTGCGGCTGCGTAGTCGGCAAGTTTGTGTGTGTGTGTGGGTGTATGTGTGTGTCTGTGTTGTGGCTCGGACGGTTTCGTCCTCTCCAAGTACCTACAAAAAGATAAAGAGCCGAAATGAGCACGGCATTAGTCAGAGTGTGACTACTAACTCGAAATAGATCCTGTTTGCCTCAGTGCAACTGTTTATTTCACACAGTGACACAGGCATGAAACAAAACAAAAAATAAGCAGTACATTTGTTATGTTTAGGTATTATAAAGTGCGTGGGCGAGAAACAACGACTTTAAAAAAAAGCGTTGCCCCACGCTTCACCATAATATTATGATTTCCTCCTGTGTCATGGGCGCGTGTACATACTTTCACATACACATCACACCCAGACCAGAAACAACAATTTGTGGATCACATAAACAGTGGTTCCGTGCGGGAATCGAACCCGCTACACGTTGCGCGGCAGCCACTGCACTGCACAGCGGTTGCCCGGCCACTGCACTACCCGTGCATGGCAGAGCGTTGCGTTGGTAACCTACTGGTCCCTTCCATGACTCGCGGGCCGTTGCATACGTACATCCGATCATTCGATACAATTATATTTATAACTAACTGATGAAAAGTAGCCAAAGTGTTATTCCACATGTCCACATCATAATCTACCCCAGTCCCAAATGTCATCCCGACCCCTTCAGCCATATTGACGCGATTGAGTAACAAACATGCACACAATCTGTCGTCCTTACCTCTATAATATCAATAAGATCACCTCGCTTTTGCTGCGACTCCATCCTAGGAGACGTATTATACTTCACTAAGTTTTCTTTATGGCGCGATCGTAACAGCCTGAACCATAGATATAAAAAATTAAGTATATTTCTATGAGACTAACAGGAATACTAGGTCCTTTGTCGGCGTCTATAACTATTGTTATAGGTACCATCCAAGTAGGTTCAGCAGTGGTTTAAAAGATAGTCCCGGGAGTTTACCACACTGTTTCCGTTCCCATTCGATTCCGGGATAAAATATACGTGTATTTTATGTCCTTTCTCGGGTCTCAAGAAATCGTTGTAACAAATGTTATCAAAATCTGTTGTTGACTGAATTAATAGATAAAGAGTCCCAGGATTTTAACGCATACAGTATGTGTATTATTGCGTATCACGACAAAAGAAGTATGCGCCAAATATCCGTCGTCTTTTCTCCAGCCTCACTGTACCGGCGCCGCGCCGCGGTGTACTGAATAGTGAATTTCAGTAGTTTAGTAAATGGATCTTCCGGGGGTTTTAATAACATAGTTCCCGGGCATTTTTTTTTTTTTTGGTAAATGATATCCTACGTCCTTTTTAAGGTTTCAACCTATATCTGTACCATGTTTCGTCCACATCGGTTCCATGGTTTAGGCGTGAAAAAAGAAAGAAGGAAGACAGGCAGATAATAGTATAGAATCATATTATATTATATAATATTTTCCTACAACTTATTTATTTTGGAAGTATTCATTTATTTTTATAGACTTTCAAAATTGTCGAAATAAATTATTTGATTTGATGCAAGATGCAAGGGGTGAATAATGGAGAAGGATAGAGAGAAAGACAATTCAATTTCACGTATAGTAAATACTCCCAGGCGGCTTGCAAGTTGCAGAAGCAGTAGTACTTGCAAGAGGAGAGTATTATGCGTGGGCAGCGTGCGGCACCGCGCCGCTAACAACGCGACCGGTCCCGCCAGTCGCGGGGCCGGCTTGAGTTACGCGCTTGTAGTTACCTAGTTACCAGTATGTATGTAGGTCACCTATTTAAATAATGATGCGTTACTATGCCATTGGAAAAACTAAGCACGGTCGCGGAACCCGAGCGACGCGCGACGAGTGCGTCCTGCGCTGTGTTCATTATTACAATATATCAATGTACTAGCTGCTCTGGATTCATTCGCTGGTTGACTCCTACATCACAGCGTAATGTTATATAGCCTTTCTCAATAAGTAGACTATACAACACAACAATTTAATAATATTGTTTCAAAACAAACCAGCAATTCGGGAGATTAGCGCGCATACACAAAGAAACTAACAAACTCTTCAGCATTATTACGTACTAGCTGTTCCCCGCGAGTTCGTCTGCGTATAATAATGACTTCTGGCAAATTTTGGATATTTTAATTAGTCTTTTCCAAGGTTAAGTCTAATTCAATGTAACAAATCTCATCAGCATCGATTCAGTTATACAAGGTGTTGTTTTAAAGCCGTGTCATTTTCTAGGAGGTAACTCGGCTATCGATTCTGAGTCCGATTCAATAAAAAAAAATATAGGTAAAAATTTTTAATTTTTCTGTAAATTACGGAAATCCGTAAGTGCGAACTACACGCCGCCGTCTTGTAACTAGCTTTATAACGCGACTTAACACACACAAACTCAAACACGTAATTGATATTATACCTAATTCTATAAAACTCAAATAAGAAACATTGCTGTCGCTTATTCTGAAACACTGTCGAACTTAAACTATTTATTATCGCAGTATTTTTAACTATTGGCCCGAAACTTTCTCTTACGTTGAACCTTTATGACTTCTGACATGCCCCGAGAAGTGTCACCTTGTATTTGTTATGAAATGTTGTTCATTTTGGTGATTACAGGTATTTTACCCGCATAATATACATAGTATCCACTCCCGTGTGGTTTCAGTGATTAAAACTCCATTTGAATTCCAATCAAATAGGTACAGCGGTTGACAACTCTCAGGCGTCATTTTCCGATTCTCAAAGTTAGACCCCGATGTTTAACGCAGTTCCTGTCCTTTCCGGGATAGAACAACCATACATCTTTTCCAGTGCCAGTTTTTCAAAATCGTTGAACCGAATTTTATCAAATACATTCAGTAGTCAGTAATATTAGTATTCACTATACAAATGTGTACTTAATGTTATTTTGTGCGTGTCTGTTTGTTTTGTTAGATATTGACGTAATTTTTTATTAAGTGGAGATAGTTGACAAATAATGGCTGCCGTCTTCTGGGATTCTAAAGGTATTCATTTGATAGAATATATGATAATAGTTATTTTTTCCTTTTTAGTTTTGATTTTTTGTTTGTTATTAGTTTTTGGTTTTTTGAAGTCGGTTTTTTAAACGCAGTTTTTATTTTATTATTTTATAATTTTCAGTGTAAAGCTACATATACCCGTTTTGTTACTTATATATAATCGACATAGGTGCAACGTTCTAATCAAAACAAATTATATAAGCCCAAACACAAGGTAGTTACTGTATACCGTTGAGGAGTTCCCTTAACAATTACACTTCTTCATCATCAGACCCTTAATGACAGTCCCACTCTATCTAGGTGTAAAGTCCTCATCAATACAAATTAATCAAACCCAAACACAAGGTAGTTAATATAAACCGCTGAGGAGTTCCCTCGACTGTCTGTCGGCTCCATCATCAGGTCGACTCCAGACCCTTATCAAATTGTAGTGTCTAAAGATTATTATTGAAAAACATAATAGATGCATTACTCGCCCATAGGTTTTTCGAAAGTTCCCCTCGGTTTCCCTAGGATCCCATCATCAGATCCTGATCTCATGGAAATGGGACCATCGCGGGAGTATACCCTTTCAAACAAAACAAGAATTTTGGAAATCGGTTCACAAATGGCGGAGTACTGCGCGACCAACAAAAAAAAAAAACAATCAGCCGAACATAGTACCTCCTCCTTTTTTTGAAGTCGGTAAAAAGGGGTGAAAGCATTACGGCAGCATCATACGGAAATATATTGCGCAATTTAAAAGAAGAAATGAAATAAAACGGCGACGAAAATTGACTGCGGGGGTATTGTTGCTTCATGACAACAAGCCGGTTCACACGGCCCGTGTGGCGAAGGCTGGTGTAAATTAATCATCTTCCGTACATTCCGGACTTGGCGATCTAATAAGTGTATTGAGGTTCTAGGGGACTATATTAAAAGTAGTTTTTTTTTTAACTTTTCTTTTATGCCCATACCGGGAATACAGTGAACGCCCCGTAAGTACTATTATTAGTCCTTGAAAACTATTTTCACACATTGTGTTACAACATTGAAATTTTCACACGGTTCCCGTTTTTTATCTTATAAATAGCTTATGTTCATCAGTCCAAGTTCCAACGGTGAAATAATTAACTAAATGAACTAGAAACTTTAATTGTTCATATCGGTCCGGTAGTTTCGGAACAGATTCAATTCAAACAAACACACACACACACCCTCTCTCTCTCTCACACACACACACACACACACACACACACACACACACACACACACACACACACACACACACACACACCAGACAAACTGTTAGTCTTTATAGTCTTTAAAGATCAAACTAATACCGTAGTACATCACTGTATTCCATCTAGTGACTTCTTTTTCCTTTGTGTTTAAAACGTTGCCCCTCACTAGGATTGTCTCCTGTGTCGTGGGTGCGTTTACTAACATACAAGTTTACATACACATGACACCCACACTCGGAACAACAATCTGTGGATCACACAAAGATGTTCCGTGCGGGAGTCGAACCCGCGGTACGTTGCGCGGCAGCCAGTTGCCCAACCACCGCGCCCAACTGTTGCAATAAATAAACCTAACTTGGAACTATACATATCTCGTCCTTCCCCGGGATACTTTCAAACTGAATGAGAATATTGTATACTTACGTCAATGGTTGCTCTTGGTAGGGGACTTCAAAGAATGTAAGTCGTATAATGAAAAGTATACTCGTACCAACTACACCCTTAACTATGTGGGTAGGTATTAGAGGTACGTACTGTGCCCTTGTAACATAATAAACATTTGGTATAAGCGCTTGGTTGGACGGTACCTAGTCCTGCACTCTTTCGCTACTTAAGAAGTTACGTAGTACTTACACTAGTTCTGGTACATACTAGTACTAGTGTATGCACTAAGGACCTAGCTCGCAGCTTACATACAGACACGAAGACGCAGTCACAGGTCAAACCGGTGCACCGGGCTGTAATAGTGAGTCACTTCATTGAGATGTCGGCGAGACGGGCGCGAGGGGCCGCGGGGCGCGGGGCGGGGGCGCCGGGCGCCGGCCAGCACGCAGCACACACCAGTGCTACTCGGCCACCGCCGCGGGCCGCACGCCACGCACCACCAACGCCCCACGCACACCAGTTAGAGCCCAATGGGCTGAACTGTGGCGAGCGTACACGCGCACGCTACTCTACCAACGACAAGAGACAGATTTGTGTTTAGGATAATCCCTTCTGGGAGAGGAACACGATTCTGCTCGACATTTTACTGAAAAGTATAGAACGTCACAGGCCCAACGTTGATTCCAAGAGTCGACCGTGGCCGTGTTTTAAGTGCCGAATCAGTAGACTTCAGCCACTGGTCACAGTGTATCGCCTGCCACCGGAACCTCGTGTCTGCGCTCAAGTTAGTAAGCACCTCTCGATCACTCCTTGTCTCTCTTTCCGGCGATGATATTAGGATTGTGGTGATCAGCGATGTTGAAAGGGTTTTCTCGTACCGCGTTGGCCTCGGCCTGGCTGCCCGCCCGCACCCCGCGCCCTGCCCCGCACTGCCGCACTCACTGTTTACATCCCCGTCTCCTTGGCAGCGAGGTAGACGCTTCTAGCTGAATCATAGGTCGGTGTCCATGTACAGGTCATAGTGCTCACACTGCTCCACTGCTCACACTGCTGTGTGGGCACACAGCGGTGCGGTATATATGACATGTGGCTCGATTGCCGCGCGCCGGGCCTGTAGGGGATTATAATATTGTGTCTGCGAAACATTTTAATCGGGCATCAATAGTCCATTCACTATCTGAACTGTGGAGTATTATAACATAGGTTTTCTGATCAATTTATGAAGTACTTTATGTAGGTATCTACTTATTAGCATGCAGGTAGGTATAGATAGGCTTTCTTTAGATATAGGTAGGATCAATGTATGAACGGGTGACACAATTAGATACTATATTATACATACGCATACTAGTGTTAAGTACTTATTTGTAGTTGGTCATACGAGTTTGGAACAACCCCGGGAGATTGACTTTAGTGTAAACTTACAGTTTGAGTTTTTGTTATATTCTAGTTCCAGTGGCATATATATATACTTAGCTTTACTTACTATAGCTTTTTTAAGGGGGGAAAAACATCGAATGAATTCCCGCCTGGGTGAGGCGTGAAGGAGTGTCAGACTCTTACTGACTAAAAACCACCCCGTTCCTACTCCTGCACGTCGAGCCGGAGCCCCGGTAACCCGTTAGGTTTTCCGCGACTCCGTATCGGCATCAGCCCTTTTGTATCCGTATCACCGTATCTCTGAATCATCATTTGTGGTGGTCTGATGGCTCTTTGAGGCGCGCACGGCTCTGGTTCTGGTCGGGCGGCAAGTTATCCATGCTCGCCGTCCGCCGGCCCGCGCTGACGGTAGCCGGAGATCGTCTCGCGAACTCATCAATAACTGATCATAACGCTGTCCTACTAACTCTAAATTGTAGCCTACCTATACAAAATACTCCTTAGTTATTAAACTGCAATTAAATAAACTTGAAGACGATCTACGCAACATCGACTTTGAGCTAGTCGCTAATTCCCGTAACCTGCAGTACTGCATGTTTTTTTTAACTTTATCCCACATTAGGATTGTCTCCTGTGTCGTGGGTGCGTTTACCAACATACAAGTTTACATACACATGACACCCAGACCCGGAACAACAATTTGTGGATCACACAAAGTGTTGTTCCGTGCCGGAATCGAACCCGCGGCACACTGCACGGCAACCGGTTGCCCAGCCACCGCACCAGCCGTGCAGTCATGTCAATGTCATCATCAATGTAGTATGTGATAGAAACTTTTAGAATTCATGCGTCATGAAATTCAGCAAAACACGGTAACTACTGTCAAAGTTACATCATAAAAATCATAACATCAAGCCGTGGATTACGACTGGACTAATGAGGTGCATGAAACATAGGGACAACTGCACATTTAGGCTAAATGTAAGTCAGACAATACGGATTTACAGACATCTTACAAAATATATCGAAAATATAAAGAATATTACATGCGCGAGAAAACAAAGTAAGTCACCCCCAGTTTTAAGTGTGGGAGAGCCATGCTTCGGCACGAATGGGCCGGCTCAACCGGAGTGATACTACGGCCTCACAGAAAACCGACGTGAAGCAACGCTTGCGTTGTGTTTCGTCGTGTGAGTGAGGTTACCGGACGCCTAATTACCCTCCCCTTCCCCAATCCCTCCAATTCCTGAATCCCCAACGATCCTCAAACTCCTAATTCCCCAAAAGGCCGGTAACGCACTTGTAACGCCTCTGGTGTTCCAGGTGTCCGTGGGCGACGCCGATTGCTTACCATCAGGTGATCCGTCAGCTCGTTTACCGGCTTATGCCATAAAAAAAATTTTTGACATCATCTTCCATTCCTGTTTTGTTGCGCAAGGTATAGGTATAAGAGGAATGCAGCTCAAAGTTATTTAGAAGATCGCAGTCAGTGTGTAAGAATCGGCAAAATCCTCAGCGATAATGTAAAAACACCCTCTATGGTGTCCCCCAGGCCCCCAGGAGAGTAGGTATATTAGGTGACGACAGCGCTCTCCTTCTTTCTGCTAACTCGAAAAGTCTACAGACTTGCGCAAGAACGGATTTAATGGTGTAAATAACTGGCTTCGATGTAACTCACTGACATTAAATACAGATAAGACGCAATTCATCAAATTGTCTATTCGGAAAGAATGACCTGATAAGTGATACTGTTTCAACCTAGTACGCCCATCACTGTAACATTCCTGACCATTTTGTTTCCTTTCTTTTAAACGGCATCTGAGTGTTTTAAACAGTAGATTGCGTTAACTCATATGTATATTTAAAAAGCTACACTACATCAGTGACTCAAAAATCTTCAGACAGGTTTATTTCGCCTTGTGCCAATCAATATTGACTGAGCGTATTACCTCTTGGGGTGGCACGGACTAGACTCTACTGCTTTGTAGTGAAAGAGCTCAAAGAGCGATTCTCAACGTGTCGTTTGTTTATCCCACTATTAAATAAGTCTTGTAAAGAAGTAGCAGTCTGGTAGCTTTTTATTATGAGCACTGTACTAAAACAGCATGCGGCTTTTCCCTACAAACTTTTTTTTTAATGGCCGGAAATCCTCATGGACTGCCTCCGCCTGGGGCAAGGCGGAGGGGTGTGCCGGACTCTTACCGGCAATTTTTTTTCTTGGGCCGCTCCTAAACAGTGGACTAATGCAACGTTATGGATCCACCCCATAACTTCTGTAATTGTGAGAAAATTCTAAAGAGATGTCCTATGAAGACAGAGAAGTTATTATTCAATTCGTACATTAATACTTTAATATAAATAATTAAAACTAAAATATTTACACCTTAAAAAATAATAATAATGAAATAATAAGTTATTATTAGTTTCTAAATAATAATTATAGTAAGCTGCTGATGTCTTATTTATGTACTGCATACTCTTTGTGTACATATTAAGCATACAATATAGTTGACCGCAACTTCGTCCGCGTAGAAAGATTATTTGTGGCAGAATTCTTCAAAATCGATTCATCGTCTAAGTGAGATTTATTGTGAAATGAATCTATCGTGGCTTCAAAAATAAATAATCCCGCAGGGATTTTACCAGTACAGAGCCCGTTCCCGTAAGGTTTTAGTGATAAAAACTATTCTATGGACTATTGTTATACCAAATCTCACTAAAAATAAGCCCCGCAACTCTATGTCTTAACCGCTATGTTAAGATAGAGAGTCCCGGGGCTTTAGCGCATAGTTCCCTTTCTCGCGGGACTTCTGTAATAAAAATCTAACCATCTAAAAATCTATCATACATTCTTTCTCAGGTTTTAACTATCGTTTTACCGAATTTAACTCAAAAATATTCAATTATTCTGGATTCTTTTGTGGCGCAAGCGAAGCCGCCGGTAAAAGCTAGTAATAATATAATTACACAAATACTGTGTCATAATTTGCCTCAACTTATTAGCATTTAAGTAGGTAGGTACTTGTGATTAAAAATTGACGTGTAAAAGTGCTGCCTTGTAGCCTATTTGCAGAAATTAATTAACTTGTTTCACTTCAATTGTTTCACTATTATTTAACATGTTTATTATTTTTACCTTATCTCACCTGAAAGACACCTTAGGACACCTGGTCCTAGTTCAAGCATCATTCAATTATTGTGAATTTTAGATAGCTTTAAGCTAAACTGTACATTACTAGATTATTGTCTGAAACTAAATAAAAAATATTACCCTACTAGCATCAACCAGAGACGAGATCGAAACACTTCTTCGGCAGTTAAAAGTCACAGCTGCGGAAAACCTATTGTGAGGTAGGAAGCATATACTTGGGCTCCACTAAATGTTTCTATTCCCGTAGTGATCTAATTTGACAAAAAATATCTATCTCAACACAATCTAGTCAACACAATCAATTTAGGTATACATATGTCGTAGGATAATTTGATACTTCGAATCTTCGCGGAAATCCTAGGGGTTTTGCGAAAACGCGGATAATTAGACATAGGCGAAAAATTATCAAATCTTACTGGACAAAGTCAGGATTTTTGTGAAAATACTCGTTACTATAGTAAGATTTGATGTGCTCAACACTGATTGGCTACAATTTTGCTTGCTGACTTCTAACTGGTTCCTAGTTTGCCGATGATTAACTTCAAGTATTGTATCATAGAGTTATGAAGGTTTAGAAAAGGTGAGAAAGGAAAATCACTAAATTGATTTCTATAAACTTTTTATTGAAAATTTTAGTATGTATGTTGTTTTCTACAGACAATAGAAGATCTCAGTAGTAGTAAAAAAAAATGATCCAATTTTAGGGTGTAATCCATAAATTGGATGAAACTGGTCGTTTAAGACGACGAAAAAACATTTAAGACGTCAACCAATCAGAGACGATCTCTTATTGAACGCGCTGACCGACCAATCAGCGTTCTTATTTCATAACAGCCAGCGTTTCGTTTCGCAATCTTATTATAGTAACGAGTATTTTCGCAAAAATTCTGACTTTGTCCAGTAAGATTTGGTAATTTTTCGCCTATGTCTAATTATCCGCGTTTTCGCAAAACCCCTAGGATTTCCGCGAAGATTCGAAGTATCAAATTATCCTACGACACATACATAACGTTGCATGACTGTACTGTAGGTACTGTCAACAAAATAGAGCCGCGATATAATATTAAAGACAACTTTATACCAGTTACTTACCTCACTCTTGCTGTCAACGACTAGCTGTTATACATATAGGTACGTCTTATTGAAGAGTTATCAGTTTTAAAAGACTGTATGTTGCTTCATCGAAAAGCAGAATTATTTTGTCTTAGCCTATATTTAGTGTAAATCAAGAAGATAATAATTTGTATAGAATTAGCAGTCGTGACGAGCCGGCAGCATGCAGGGAAACACATGTGACGTACTGTGGCGGTGACGTCGACCTTGTCGCATTCAAGTTGGGGCGGGGCGGCGGCGGCGGCGGCGGCGGCGGCGGCGGCGGGTGCAGCGCGAGGCCGACCAGTGCGGCGCGCGAGGCCACCCCTTGTCTCCGCGCCGACCACCGCACGCGACTGAAATAGCTCGCGAGTCGCGACTCGTGACTCACTCCGCGCTGCGTCACATGACCGACCGCGACCTGCTCGACACTCTTCCACCTGCTGCCGAATTATAATGCTCGCCGGAAGCGGAAGGGCACCGGCCACCCGGAACTAGAACGAGCAGGTTACACAGTCGCTCAGCGCTCACCAGCTTGCGTTGACCATGGAAATGAATTTGTTTACGTACTCTTGCGGATAGTTGGCCGGCTACAATCTTACGATTTGTGGATTTATTTATAAACGTTATCAAACATTATACCTACAACCCAAACCCGGAACAAAAGAAGATAACACAAAGAAAAATGCACAGTTAGGTACCTACGCAATCGAATCTGCGACACGTTGTGCAGGAACCGGTCAACTACTGCGCGCCTACCGTGCGCTGGCGCCCAATATTACATTGTGGGAAAGAAGATGGCGGAAGGCTAATACACTTGAAACTGCCAGGAGAGTGACAACTGAGAAACTGTAAACTCGGGTGGTTAGTAACGTGGCTAATAGAACCAAGGCCGCGGTACATACGCCGCGCGCTGCACCACCGTGCTGTGTTTAATACATAATAAGTTTTGCTACCTCACGCGCGTCCGCACCGCTTCATGTTACTACACATTACTAACTACAAAGAAATATTTGTGCGCAGCTAGTAATGTATTACTGACAACTGTATGGTCACATTGGTCACATCAAGCGGCACGGACGCAGTGGTGGCGGGCGGGAGCGCGGTGCGTGGCGCGATGCGACGTTATGTATGGAAAACATTCTCACCGTTGCACATGCGTGTTACGTATCGGTGCCGACACATGTACCTACAACGTCATCAACGCCGTGTCACGAGGACCACGTCTGCTAAATCAGGACATTACACCTACTTTGATGCAACGAAGGTTCTACGGAGTATTGCAACATTCGAACTGCTGAGTCGTCTCCTCTTGTCGCCGCCTTCTGCCCAGCTACGAATCGCTACATCATCGTTCACCCCACTAGATTTAACACATTCATACTAATTTTATACTAAAGAATGTTAAGATAAGAAAGCAGTGCTGTTCCAACATCGAACGCATACGCTCTTAGGTTATCATGTAATTTTAATTATAATAAACTTAGTAAAATGATCATAGTTTCCATTTGCCCCTCTGTCGATGGCCGAAACATAACTTGCGCACGGTTCCAAAAAGCCGTGCACAGACACAGACGTAGCTTTAATTAGTCAATTGTATTTAGTATTCATTAGGTAGCTTTTGCCCACGACTTCGTCCGCGCGTAATGCCTACAGACATTTGGGTTTCTTGACTTCTAGCATGTTTTGCCCTGCACCAAACCATAATATGTATAGATGCGGGCGGCGACGAGCCAAGACCTTGCGGGTCGTAATTTCATGGAGACAGTTACGAACGCGGGCATAGTTCAGTGGTTTGTGGCAGTTTACTTGGTGTAACTGGTAATTTATTCGTCAAGAGACCCCCTCTAAGTAAATCAACAATAGTTTGCGCTTCCGTTTGTGTATACTAACTGACTCGTCAGCACAATGTATCAATGTCCCTGTAATAATAGATGCAGATAATATATCTAACATCCCCCGTTTGTGTTGTGTGAGACTGAGTGTGAGTACTGTGAGTGGCAGAGTCGGAGGCGCAGTGCTGAGCGCGGCTTGTTGCAGGGGCGGGCGGCGGGCCGCGCGGGGTCACGCCGGCGCTGCGCGACGCCCTGCGCACTGTCCGCGAGGCGTGGGCCGAGCCGCGCTCGCTGCTCAGTCGCTGGTCAGTACTACTCTGCTGCCACTAGCCTCGCCCCGCACTATATTGATCACATCAACTACAGTAAAGCAGAACTTACTTAGAAACTCGGGTTTCACGATATGCACGCATATGTACTTATTGCACTTGTACTACAATATCATAGTATAAAGAACAAAGTAGGTTATCTTCATACAAATGCTCCGCGCGCGGCTTATATGTGTGCGCCATAGTATCTATGCGTCGACGCACGCACACTTTAACAAAATCTCGACCCGTTTCTCAGTGCGCCAGGCAGGGCTAACACTGCACGAGGTTCGCGCGCGCATCACTTTTCGGCACTGTTAAATGAAATAAAAAATGTCTGATAACCGTAGAAGAACGTATTGCTGTGTGTTTGGGTGTCTTAATAATTAATCGATTCCAGAACTGTCTCTGTTCAGATTACCTATTGAACAGGAAAGGTAAGCTAGTCACTTTTTCTAGCATAATATAATTTGTAGGTACTAGGATGATGAGATACCTACTTACTTATTCTTACTCTTATCATTCTTCATAGTTCCTACTCAACCAGAAATTTAATTACCTACTATACTTAAATATTATAAGAAAATGTGGTATTGTATTGTTTATTTTACAGTTTATCTGATTTGTTAAGAGCGTAGCCGTGTCGCATTATTCCATATAAATATATTCCCAAATTTACTTTCTGAATACTATGTATAGAGCTAAAGTTTATTTTAAGAAGTTAATAATCTTTTTATAAGCTTTTTATTTTTACTAAATTTATAAATTGATAAAATATTCAATCATAATATGCTTTTCATTTCATAAATTTAGATCAAGTGCTGCTTGTTCGAAAATATTAACTATAAGTAAAAGTGACAACCCTGGGGATCAACGCAAGAGTAGGCTAATAACTCGGCGGGCGGCCTTAGATAACCTACTGTATATATTTATACTGTGACAATATGTATGTATATATGGCTGAGTGCGCACCGCAACCGTGTCAAGTGCCCACATAGCAGCCGCTCGTGCGCGACTCGACTAATTATGGAATATATTCGCGCCAGTCAGCTAGCGGGCGCGCGCGCAATCGGCCGCAGTGCGCTTGTGTATAGAACATACTGTACTCCAGGGATGCGGGTGCCCAAAGTTACTCAATAACAAATATGCTGCGCTAGTGTGCACCGGGGCGGAGCTAGTCGCGCTGCTACCTGCGGCAGGTGAGAGGATCCCCAGGCCACCTCGTGTCGCAGCCTGTCGCCGAGGCGTCTGCCTGGCTGGCCGTCTGTTCGTGCGGCTAATGTGGTGTATCCAGCGTGCCGCCATCGGAATGTACTTATTATGCAAGTAGAGCTCCGCGGTAGCAGAGGCCGCTTTCTTTCTGTACCAATTCCAATAAATGGACTGTTCCTATAATCTGCAATACTCTCACAATATCAAACTCAAACCCCTGAAACATAAATTAGAACCTATACTAATCATCCCAAGCCAAATAACATCAAACATTTGACTAACGGTACTCTACGATGCATCTGAGTCGTACATTGGCAGTTGGCTACATACAGACACCGCAGTGTACATACGAGAAGCAGACAACATTGCTTCAACAATGGAGCTTCACGTCCCGGAGCCCGGAGGTGGCACGTGAGCTGCAACAAAGCAATTTGTTGAACAATCTACCTCACTCTCTCTCTGTCTCATCGTAAGAGGAATATTTTCTCATCATTACGTCTCAGATACACGGGGAGTCTGGCTAGACCGCTAGATCCTACTTAACACTAATAATTTTTTTTCTTAGTACATTATTATCAATTCTTCCAGGGTAAATGATTTATATTAGAATCTAATCGAACGGCCAAATGAGTATGTAAGGAACTTGTTTTAATTTAATCTCTTAGTACCTACTTAGTGTTTTGAACAAGTATTTTACACAATATAGGTATGTACCTCTAGAATAGACCTTTATACGGCACCGCCGCTTCGTAAAGAAGATATGAAAAATTTTCGTTTATTTTATTCAGTTTATTTTTTATATTATACGTATACGTTTATTTTAACACTTTCTTTATCTAACAAATATTATTATATATCTAATTCTTTTGTAACAAATAAGATGACGAATATTCGTTTTTCCGTGAATAATTCGTAAAACCCCTTTTTAAGTGAGCAAATTGTAATGTCAGCAATTAAAAAGATAATATTGCGTATACTTACGTCAAGTCAGTTCAGCAGTTTTTACTTTAGAGAAAGTTTTACTAAAACCCGCGCCGTGTTGTTCATTTGTCTTCCAACTGTATAAAGCTTTCGGTGTTCTAAGCTACTTTCATGTTGAACATTTTTTTATTATAGTACTACCTGACCTGGTAGTCTTCGTACCGGCTCAAACGTTGATTTTTTACCTTTCAAATCTGCCCTCCTGGACTTCCACAAATAATTCGAGACCAAAATTACCCAAGTCGGTCCAGCTGTTTTCGAGTTTTAGCTATTATCAATGAATAATAAATGTCAGTTTCAGCCGATCAGTACGGCAGTGGGTAGCGCCCGCCCCTGCGCTCATGGAGCGCGCCGCCGCCGAGCTGCCGCCGCGGCCAGGCGCCTCGCCTGGTCTGCTGTGCCGCCGCTACTCCGTGCCCGAGACTATCATGAGGAAGTAAGTCATGAGGAAACTTTCCTTAAATAAATACCTATTATTAGCCAATACACGAGTAATTCATAATTATTTATATTGGACTACAAATCAGCTTGTAATGTTACTAATTTAAGACTTGTTGATTGAATGCCTACCCCTGGTTATCGGTTCTTCGACATTATAATAATGCGGTTTGATAAGATAGTGACGTTTTGAATTTCCCGCGCAGTTTTATTCCAAGTGCAACAGTGCTGCCGTTAACTGTAATCTATTAGTGGGCAACTGTCAAATTTTGAGCAAGCTACGTCATGCAGTTGGGGTTTGATAGTCATTCAAAGCGACCTGTGAATTTTTACGAAAATAGAAAAAAGTAAATTTCGTGTGCTGATTTAGCATTACTTTTTACGTAAAAAACCATCACTGAAACTAAGGAAAGGCTTGATAAATAGTACTACGGGGACTCGGCACCACCAATTTCAATGATAAAGAAGTGGTTTGCAAACTTCCGTTGTGGTCGTAGCGCTAGTGACGCCGAACGTTCAGGTCTCCCAAAAGATGTGATAACGCCAGAAATCGTCGATAAAATCCATGAAATGATATTGGATGATCGGAGAATGAAAGTGCGTGAGTTGGCTCATGCTGTAGGTATCTCAACTGAACGGGTAGCAATTCAGCCAATCGCGAGACAATCGCGCACCAACATACGTAGGTACATACATACAGGTCAAACTGACATCCCCCTGTTAAACATACGCTTGTGATATATTGCAGATATCGTCTCGCGCAGCAGAGGTCGGACTCGGAGGAAAGCGCACCTCAAACGAACCGCTCGGTCGCTTCAGCGTCCCCGGGGCCGGGCTGGGACGCGGCCGGCTCACCCGGCGAGACGCCGCACCGCTTCCTGCGCCGTGACCGCGAGCTCATGCGCAAGTCGGCGCTGCTTCGAAGGCTGTGGGGCCGCGGCTGTTGCTGCTGCGAGCCCGCGCCCGCCGCCGAGCTCGGCACGCGCTCGCTCGACGGCTCCCGCTCCGAGCTGCGCCAGCTGTCCAGTGGCCTCACCTCCTCGCGCTACTCGCACGTCGTCGGGTGGACCACACCCAAGCGACAGCGCCTCGACTCCTCGAGAGACTTCCGTGGCAGTGATGAGATGATTCGTGCCGCAATGAAAAATAGCTACGATCGCGCTGAAGACTCCCGTAAGGACTCCGGCACCCGCATCGACTTATCGGACTCGACGTGCAAATGTCGCGAACCTTCGTCCTATACAGAGACAGTGACGGACGTGCTCACCGACAGTGAAGGTTCCAAGTCGGAAATACGACACGAAAGGGATACATTCCCGCAGTACTCAGAGCGACACTTGTCCGAAACGTCTACAACACAATTCAGATCAAGCACGACAAACGACCCAAATGTGACCAGTGAACACTCGGTGGCGGGCAGCGACGAGCGCCTGCTGTCAGACTCCTCGGACACGTACTCGGCGTCGTACCCCACCGCGCAGGAGCGGCTGAGGACCAGACCCTCCTCCTCACGGGCAGCGCGCACATCGCCGGCCACGTCAGTGAGCACTCTGCTAGCTTGTTCCGCGATGACAACGATGCGGTACCCTATGACAGGCCCCTGACCGTCCACACACCATCCTACGAAGTACTAGAGATAGTCGTGTCAGAAACAGTAAACGTGACCTCTGCACCGTCTGCTAACACGCTTCCACCGGATAAGTTCTCACAAAGTTTGAGGGCTCCCGTGCAAAACCAGAAGACTGCTCAAAATATTAACATTGATGAATACGTTTCTAATATTCTAGTAGAGAGCCTGAATTCATTGACTGATCAATTAGAATGCATGAATGCGTCTATGGGAAGCAATAGGAAGATAAGTATAGTTGAAAAGGAAATAAAAGTAAAGCTACAAAATACAGGAGTCAATACGATAGTTCACTTGAGCCCCACCTCCAACAATCAAATTATATTTGGTAATGAGGAGCTGTGCATGAATGAGGAGAGCAAAAACAACTGCAACAACTCCCCCGGCCAGCGGTCGTCGCAGGAGCAAAGAGAGCCAGAGCTCGCCATCCGCGACGAGCACAGCGTCGAGTGCAACAACAACACCGACCCCTTCGACCTGCAGCACGACAGCGTCAACCAGGCCGTGCTACAACAGATACAGAAGCTGTTCCAAGACGAGTTCCACAGCTTGGATGTTGAATATACGGAAAAAACAATGCCTGAAATATCACACATCGAAATCTCGAGTGCGACGGATGTGTTCATTAACAACGAGAACGAGTTAAGCACGCAGGCTAGAGACACAATGGAAGGCCGATACGAGGTCATCAGCGGCGTTGGCACCGGTAGCTACTACCCCGACGTGGAGGACCGGCCTTTAGTGCCACGCTTCTCCGCCCTGCCGCACACCGAATCCATGGAGGTAAACACCTCCTCCTCCGAGGACGCAGACCTTATGGGCTCCGACTGCACTAGTCTTGTGGATAGTCTGGACGATCCCAATTCGCCACGGTCCGTGTTGCTACGACGCGCTTTCTCCAACAGGCGCAACGAACTCGTTCGATCCGCAATAGATATTTTGGATCTGCTACCCGAAGATGTTCGCCAAGACGAACCTACAACTCCGAAGGACAAGGGCGAGTCATTTTTTATTAAAATAAAAGATAATGAGTGTGACTGTGACTGTGAGAAAGAAAATGTCAATGTGGCCGATCGGATGCCCGAAAAAATTAAACAGAGATTATACCGACGACATCGTAAGCGGGAAATGCGAATGGAGTGTGCACGGAGATCACGAGGCAAACAGCGACCGAGAGAGTCCCAGATGGAACGCAGTCGTGCGCGCCGCGACCTGGAGCGGGACTGTGTCGCTATTGTGAACGCGCTCATTGATGACGTCATCGCTAAAGTCGCACAAGACGAATACAAGTGCATGCGCATCAAGCACCGCCCCGCCAGGACACTGGCCTCGCACTGCGATGATAACATTGTCAAGCGAACGTGGAAGAAAGAGATGCTGCCTACCGAAGATAGAGATCCATTTTCATCTGCGAAGAGTCACAATACTCGATGCAACTCGCAGCAATGGGTAAACAGAGGAGCGAGCGTCACCAGATTCATGGCAAACTGTCACTTGTGACGAGACCTGCGGTCGCCTGCGACGATAGGGCTGCTAAGCGCATCTACCAAAAGTCTGAAATACGCGATGGCAACAAATGTATCGAAATTTTGGAAATATTAGAATACGTCAATGGGTCACAAAGCTCTCCAGAAACTACTAACTCTGACGAAAATCATAATCAACACATGAAAAATAAAAAATCTCGTATTCCTATTCCAATTTATGAAAAAAATTTACGATCCCCTACGAGTAGTAGTAGTAGGCGCAGTTCCATGCCGCGAGCTGAACTTAACGGCAACTCTAACCGCTTAATCGCAGACATGTTGCTGGGCGCGTTAGTGGAGAGTGAGCCCAGCGAACTCAGCGAGCCGGCCGGCCCGCCACCGGCGCCTCGGCGCGCCTCCGTGCCGCGCTTCAAGCAGACCTTCGACATCATCCCCGAGGAGCGGAGCAGTCTCAGCCTCGACTCCGGTAGCGAGGACCCCAACCACAACCGTCGCACGTCCGACATCTCCGCAGTCCACGAGCCACCGGCGCCGTCTCCGCCCGCAAACCCATTACAAAACTTTTCAAACCTCAAGGGGATTCACCACGACGATGTAAAGACGTGAAAAGTGCTGCCACTTCTCCGATGATGGATTGCGATGCCAATAAAAAGCCTCTCAGATCCAAAAACCAAACAACAATGACATCCCCTCTAAGCAAGTCAGCAGCGACAAGTCCTATGCGGACGTCAGGGGCAGAAGGCGCGGTGCGGGAGGATGCACCACTGGCCAGCAAGCGCGGCCGCCACGCCTGGCTGGCGCAGCACGGCGCAGGTACCCCGCTAGCGGCGCCACTGCCGCACCGCACGGCCCGCTCCGTCCCCGTCGAGTAGTCGCACGCCGCACCTCGCACCACTCGCTGTCGCATGTCTCACTTGTATTATAGAATCTGCATCGCCACCCTACTCCGGTGTACACTACCGGCGCGTACCCGCGTTAGTAGTTAGTCTGGCTAGTGTCAATGTCACAAGCACCATCCGTCGATAACATAATTTATTTTATATTAATTATTATTTATTACGCGTTATAAAAGCATTTATATGTATACAAAAGTTTGAATTCATATTAAAAAAGCAAATTATATACGTTGTTTTATTTATAATAAGGTCACAAAGAAATGGCTGAGAAAGCACGGCAACGCAGGCCCACAATGACACAAAACGAAAGACATCCGAATCCACAGCGACACGAACAGTACAACAGTACTCGAGAGGAACGCGGCGAGCGACGCCGGCAGCCCGCTAGCGGCACGTCTCTGTCTGCAGAGCCGCGCTCCGACTGCTCGCCGGTCGATGCGTACATCATCGGCGACAAGAGAAAAGCGAACGACGGAACACATTCGCCGTTCGTCAAATTACCAGAGTTTAAAGGCGGCGGTGACAGCGGGGCCGCGAGCTCGAGCGATAGCAGCGAGTCGGGAGGCAGCTTACTGTGCTCGCTCGCGCCCAAGTGGCTGTCACAGGGCCGCGCCAGGCGCGCAGCGCGGCGCCGCGACGCGGAGCGGGCGGCGCCGGGCGCGCAGCCCGAGGCGGGCGCGGCCTCGGCCCCCGCCAGCCCCCAGCAGCCAGGTGAGCAGCGGGCGGGGAGCGCGCGGGCTGCGCGCGCAGCGACTGACGGTAGTGTGTGCAGGCGGCTGGTCGGTGACGGTGGCGGGCTCGTGCCGCGCCGCGCTGCCCGCGGACGTGGAGATGCGCTTGCGGTTCCCGCACGACTCGCAGGCCGGCGTCGACGGGCCCTGTCAGGTGCTCATTGCTACTTGTTCAGTTTGATTGTTCACACTCATGTACCGTTGGTGCGATTATACTATTATTCACACAATAGTTCGATCTTTAAGAAGGAAATATGTAACCCCACCTGGAAAGTTTTCCAAGAGTTTCGATAATTGACAATTTCGTAGATTTCGATATCATTTGATATGACGTGCCTTTGTATATATTTCACAAGAAAACCGTTAACTACTGTTAAAGTAAAAGTGCTCACAATTATGTCTAGACAGCTTTTTTTGTAATATAACGCCGCAAAGTACACTTTTATGAGAATTTTGGAAGAAAATATTTCCACCCCACGTGAAAGCAGAGCGACCGGCGCGTTTTTATAGTGTAGTCCTTTATAGGTGTAATGCTCATGTGATTGTAATATACTATACTCGAGGAACCTGCCGTAATCTCCTGCCCTTAGCTGTTTTTGACGAAGGAAATTTCGTCGTGGACTTTATCGACGTCATAGTCGATATTTTTAAACGACAACGCTTGTAATAAATCTGCAACTCCCAGAAACCACTCCAGGCAGAACTACCAAATTACTATTGTTCCGTGTTGGAAACGAACTCACGACACGTTGCACATATTTATGTGGGAAAGCCATGTTTCGGCACGGACGGGCCGCCGGCCGGCTTGACCGGACAACACTTGCGTTGTGTTTCGCAGTGTGAGTCCTGAAGTTACATGGTAATGGTACTCCTATTCTCTAAAATTGTAGAGTTGTTTCTTGACACTGTTCTACTTCAGGGAGCAAAGAGGACTAGGTATAGAAAGTACCGCGCTATTTTATTATGTGGACGAATGTGGTATAGGAATGTACGTGTCGGCACTGTGCACGTGTGCGTGCCCCGCGCGGGCGCGGGCGGGGTCGCGGGCGCCGCTGCTGCCAGCCGCCGCGCCGCCGCTGGCGCAGCTCGCGCGGTCTGACTCCAGCAAGCTGACCCTCACCATGAAGAAGGAAGCGCTCGGTAATGTGTAGTGGACGGGAGTAAGGGCCTATCCTGTCAATCGCTGCTCACTTCACCAAACACACTTCTTGTCTTATTTTACAGATTCTTCTATTCTTGCGTCCAAGAGTTCGAAGAAGTCTGGTGAGCCGCTGCCCGACGTGGAGACGTATCGAGCGTCACGCAGTAAGCTAAAGAGCTCCGTCAAGGTATACCACTCGTAGTACAGAGCAATACAGGGAACTACTCTGACAACATAGTACTCAATCATCGATCCTATCTCACTGTGTGCGTTACTGCGTTCTCGGTGTGCTTCGCTCGTTGTGCACTTGGCCCAGTCAATGAGCTTGCATCATGCACACGTCGCGGCGCGCTCCAGCCGACCCAGACACACCTGTATCACAGCTTGTATGTTGTGGAGTGGTGCAGGCGTAGCCGGAGCCCCGGTAACCCGTTAGTTTCTCCGCGGCTCCGTATCGGCATCAACCCTATTGGGCCCCATCCGTGGTGGTCTGATGGCTCTTTGAGGCGCACGCGGAACGTGACGCGCCGTAAGGTCGTCTCTGGTTCTGGTTGGACGGCGAGCCATCCATGCTCGCCGTTCGCCGGCCCACGCTTACGGTGGCCAGATATCGTCTCGCGATCCCCGATGCTCGGAATGTCCTTCGCGATGGCTGGGTTGCGAGGAGGCAGCGCTTCGCTGCCTCACGCGTCCCGCCTCCTCCTTAGCTAGGTAGGCTAGGTCAGGTGGTAGGTGAGGACACCGTAGCGTCTCTCAAGCCACTCATCAAAGAGGGGACTTAGCGCTGCAAATATGAGCCTCTAGCATGGGTTGAAACTAGTCGAGTTACTCGTCAAATAGACATAATTTCACGCCTGTCTCCCATGGGGGTAGGTAGGCAGAAACTATGGAACGCTAATTGCAACATGTATACCTCTTTCACCTTTTTAAGGTCAAAAGTCCGCCATGCCACTGTGAGTGATGTTCACACGGCAATGCGTAAATAATTTCATATTAATGTGCATAAAAACGCGCGCGTACGCATAAACACACGCACGCGTACGCACACGGATAAAAATTTGCGTGTGTATAAACGCTGCAGCGCAACCGATAGTAGTCTTGGTGGCAGTGGACTTTTGATATTTGACCGTATCTACATCTCGCAGCACATCAGCAGCATCTTGTAGCCACTCGGTTAGTGCACGAACAAGCCATTTTGCGTTGAATTTATTACATAACTATGCGATGAATAAATAGTCTAATGATTTGACATCATTTATGTCTCGTGAGGTTTCGCGCAACCTGTATTTAGCAAGCATTTACACCTAGAAGGCGGTTGTTTCAGACGCGTCGGGGGTACTCCCTGCACTGCTGGCTGCCCGACAGCGAGGGCGCGCCCCTCAGGTACGTGTGCCAGCTGTACCCGCGCCGTGCGCTGTGTGCGTGGAGTGACCGATGTGTGTTGCAGGGCGAGTGACGGGCTGTCCGTGCTGGGCAGCGCCATCATCCCGGAGCTGAAGCCGCGCGTGCCCACCATGAGCGAGCGCGACCTCACGCGCGTCTATACGCCGCGCCACTACCTGCGTCTCTAGCGCCCCCTACCGCCCCACACGGCAACCCCTCACTACATCGTCGTTTTTTAACGCCGGGAGTCCTGTAGTACTTAAATAATCTCAATTGTCCAAAAAGTAACGAAACCTAATAATTACAGACGTCATTATGGCCGGAGTAAACGACCTGGAGTCTTTGTTCTCGGTTATTTATTTACTTTGGCAGCTCAATTTTATGAAAACGGCGCGGCGCGATAAAATTAAGAAACGAAACACAAGGGTGATGGAGTGATATTAATTTTGACTTGTATAAACACTAAACAGTAGTCTCATCAATGACAAATGTATCTGATAAATAATAATAATTATTTTGTATTGATTATTTTGTGTATCATGTTAGTGGTTTTCTTTTCCTTCTGACATATTATTCCTGTATACAAATTGACGTTCTGTGAACATAATGAATTCGTAAATGACAAAGGTTTTAACTAAGTAAATATTATTTGATACTTTAGTAATGCAATAACCGTGACAAACATCGAATAATGTGTATATTTACTTACTTATTCAATTATTTATATTCTTTGTTACTTAACCATCATATTGTTGCTCTGATTATTCTGTGTCGGTACTACAACGAATTTGCTTTTGTTTGCTTTTGACATAATTATGTTTGTGAATAAAGATTATACACCCCAGGCGATGGTTACAGTGATACTAGTCTAAATTATAATTTGAAGAGCTGAACTTGCACCTGTGTAAAACAATAAATGTATTTGAATTTGAGAGTGAGAACAGAGGGGTGGGGGTGGGGAGACCTGACAACTTTTTCGTATTCTGTAAATAAATAAATAGTTTTATGATTTATAATCGTTTAATTTTTTCTGTTTCTCAATTACCCGACTAGAACGAGACGCGACAGATATGAAGAAGACAGACCAGAGGGTCTACTTCAGAAGGCTTTGGAACACAACACAAACACCATAATATTGTTACTTCACTTTGTTGAGAAATTGTAAGTATTTCTTTTTCATCCGTTAGGGGCGCTAGTTGAATTATGCATCGTCACATTTGATTACAAATCTAAATAAAGGACATTGCTCTGCGTCCATACATTGTTGGCCCTGGAGCCAAGAGTATCGGATAATTATGTACCTATTGTATTCCCTATCATTTTTAGACTCCTTGAAGATCTTGTTTTTATAGCGGACTAACTGCAGAAATGATATAGGTAACTATTTCAAAAAAAGTATCAGATATTGAGGTTATAATCTAAACATAACAACGAATATTTGAACAAATGTTGAATGTTTGAATCAGTTTGAATGATTGTATACATTTTGGAATACTAGCTAGTCTAGTCCGTGATACAGAAGTATTTGCAACTTATATGTAATAAAATAGGGGATTAATTATCGTATATTCTGATACTCTTTACTACACAGGACCATTTTGGAACAAAACCATAGCGTGACCAAGGGCGAATCTGCCTAAGGGCTTTTTGGAGCCCAGGGTCCCGGTGATACAAGGGACCTCAGAAAATAAGAGTTGAATCGTAATTTAAGACATTTCATTATTTGTATCACAATAAATCCAGAGCCGGACGCAATAGGTCACCGTCCCCAAACACTTTCCTGAGGACACAACGGTGCCAAGCCCACGCCGAGCATACCGCTAAGCGACGCTGGTGTGCTCCTGGGGTTTTTTTAGTGGCTTCTCCCGGAGAGTCACACATATCCCTCCCATCTCCCAACGGAAAACGATACATAAAACGTTTTTACCTTATCCAAAGTGCTCCCCTAACATGATCAAGAACCGGAATTTCACAAAGTATATTTACCACTACTTTTAGGAACCATTTTTACGTATATATAAATAGATTCATAAATACTGTTTGTAAATAATTTATAACGTATATATATGATATGAGATAAATATGAAAAAAAAAATACATACCTACGAGATTTGGCGCTTTCCATTTGATTGTCATCGTGCCTTATTCACGCAAACGCTCCACCATGTGTAACATGTCTTTTAGAGACGTTTGCGTGACCCTCTGGGACTTCCGACTAGATGGTCTAAGCTGCCAAAACCTATGCTCACCAAGCAAAGGACATCGTCTGAGTTCTCTGTTTTTGGTCCCTGACCACGTCTTGCAGTGTCATCATGATTTGCTATACAGGTGATCGACGGCGGCGATGGTCTGGTCACGCAGCACAAGTGCGTGTTGCAGTACAGCCAGTGGCGTTATCCTTCGACAAGTCCAGATTTTGGTGTTCGAACCACCACGGCAAGGTAATAGGCCCGTCCTTAAATCTGCACCCCTTCTGATGAAGTTGGACAAAATTAATTCTCTTCAGCTTCATGCCGCAGTCGTTCGGACCACAATTTAATATGGCTTCTGTGTATACGGCTTCTTCTTCGTGTGCTGGTGCTCCCAACAATTGCGACCTCGCCGACGTCGTGATTCCACGAGTTTACACTGCGTTCCCCGAATGGGAAGTTATCCATCGGTGTGTCGGTGCCTGTTTTAAAATCTGCCGAACGCCAAACTCCACCTTAGCAGTAGCTAACGGCCGATCGGGCCAAGGCGTCCCACTTCACGACAGTCTTGGGCAAAAATAGAATGCCCTGTGTCGGGTTGCTCATCCCTTCTGCAGTTGATGCAAGAAGGCCTCTCCCCCGCTGCGGACCTAGGGCAATTCGCCTGGAGGTGGGGCCCCCGCAGTGGTTGCACAGGTCCTCCTTTTCTGTGCAACTCTTTCGCCCATGTCCGTAGGTCAGACACCGACTGCACTGGACCAGCGGAGACTGGTCGAACACCTTGACGTGTTGCAAGTCGACGTAGATTTTGTGAGACCTGGAGGACGACGTGGGTCTCGAGAGAGTTCCGCGCCTTCCTCCGGTACTTGATGGTCACCGCTGACTCTTCGGCTGACAGACCCGGGTTGCAGACTTGAGCTCTTGCATCTCCAAGAAGCTCTACGCCCTTGCCGCTGTGACCTTTGGCGACAGAAGCAGCATCCATACTGCGCCGATCAATGAGAGCTGCCTTCAAATCCCCCATTTGCACGGTGGCTACCCTCCGGAGTTCACCGTGTTCCGCCATTTTTGTGAGGAGTTCGTCCTCTCTGCCCACCATTCTGGGGGCCTCCAGACCCGCAACCTCTCCGACCTCAGGGAGCCGCTGGTGTTCGGACTCTTTCACCAGTTGGTAGAGGCGCTCAATGGCTAGTATCGCCTGGGTCTTGATCTCCGTTTTTAGGTTTCTTGCGAGACCCAGTTGACACTTGGCCTGTTTCAGCCAGTATCGTGCCTCCATCGTCCGGTTCTCGAATGTTCGAGTTGGCTGAGGGGAATTGGGTAAGGGTGCGAGCCCCGAGGACCCAGCGCTGTTTGCTTGCTGGCGTCTTTACGGTGTCGGGAAACAGATACCGTATCGCATTGGGTGGAGCCGGCGACTCGGGAGTGGTGTCGCACATATTAGTGGGGGAAGGAAGCACGATAAAGGGAGCACTTGGCTCTATATGCTGTATCCCTGTAAAGAGGGGACTGTCTAAGATAAAATTAATGTCAACAAATCATTGGCCCTGTAAAGGGGGGATCAAGATTATAATATAGTCAAATTATAAATAAATAGTCAAATAAATAAATTAGTGATTGAAATAATAATTGGTCAAATAAAATAATTACAATCAGATTTAGTAAATAAGTAAAAAGCAGACTTAGATTAGGAACTCCGTCCAAACAAAGTACCGGACAAAGCGGACACAATGAAAAATTTGATCCTCTCGATATCGTCCGTCTATAAAAGTAATAAAAATTTTTTCGATCGAGAAGAGTCTTTCTTGTCCCTATCCCTATAGAGGTAGTATAGTATATTCAAAATTTAAAAATTTTTGTTATCCGATCGGGGCGTGCGATACGTCGGGAGAAGCGTCTCGGCGCGGGCCGTCCAACAGAGTGAAAATCCCGGATCGGTTTCCTGAAATAATTTAAAGTTTTGAATGAAAAACGAGTTTTTTCACCAAATTTTGTTCAATTGCGAGGATTTTTCGCGAAACGTCTGGAGTTATTGAGTCAAAAACCTATCCAAATCGTAGATTATAAGTTGCTGAAGCTGTATTAAAAATTTTGTCGCCCTAGGTCAAATATGAAAAAAGTAAAAAATTTTCGAATGAAATATTTTGGTCCAAAGTAACTTTAGGGGTGGAAATTAGTTCGGGGGTTGAGCCCGGGGGTTAGGTTAGGTTAGGTTAGGTTAGGTTAGGTTAGGTTGGGGATCCCCCCACAGTGCTGACTTCCTCGTAGTGATCCCCGGGCAACGCCGTGTCTGACCACCGTAACGGAGTGGCAGACCGGCGGCTAACGAGCGCTGTGAATTCGTACGTCTTCTTTTGCGGTTTTGTGCGAATATGTCGTCTTCGTCTATGTCGAAGCCTCTGCGGGACGCCTCCGGGCGCTTCCTGTCAAAACGCCCTTCTCAGGGCGAACCCAACGGCCCTTCTCAGGGCCAATCAAACGGCCCTTCTCAGGGCCAAACCGACATGTTGTCGGACGCTAGCCGCGCACCATCTGCGGCTAGCTTGTTTTGTCGGGCGGACGAGTTGTCGGACTGTGAGGAGTCCACAACCGAGTCGCAGGCGGCCACCAGCCGCTATGAACTAAAGCGGGCCTACGTAAGGCTCGAGTCGGACGACTCTTTGGAGTCGTTCGGCAAGACCAAACGAAAGGTCAAGGCCAAATCGAGTGCCCACGACGTGGGACTCGATGAGGCACAACGCCAATTAAGGGCGTCTCTGGCGCAAACCAGACGGGCGGAGGGGCAGAAGGACCTGGAGGAGAAGGTCGCTGCCAAAGAGCGCGCAACAAGCGCCACGAGGTCCAGGGCCGGCTACGGGGCGTCCAACGTCCTGTACTCGGACCATTCGGTTGCTGAATTGGCACAAATGGCCTTGGAGGACAAAGAGGAGATAGTGGAGGTCGCCTCTAAGTCCTCAAACTTGAAAGGGACTTTCCAGAAAGCCCTCAAATGTCGTGCTGCCAGCATGCACGGCATTATCGCGGAGCTAGTGCAGCGCACGGCGACGGAGGAGTCGCGGCAACTGCAGGCGCGGGTCGATCGCCTTCAAGCTGAGGTCAGCGACCTCCACAAAAAACTGGCTGAAGCCACAGCTCCATCGGCCAGCAACGCGGTGGCAACAGGCCCTTCCTCTTTCTCCTCCTCCTACCTTGAGGATATAATCCGGAAGGTTATAATGGAGGAAAGGGCCTTCACCAGAGCCTGCTTTGCGGGCATTGAGGACCGGCTGTTGCCGGAGAAGCGCATCCGCCCTCCACTCGCGGCGGACAGAGCGCAATCTGCAGCACTACCACCGCCAGTAGCTGCAACCACCAGCGGACTGCCCCAGGCCCCAAAGCCTTCTAAGGGCAAAGGACGGGGCAAGAACACAAAGCGGCGGCTCAAACTACATCCAGCGCAAGTAGCTGAGCCGGAAATGACCCTAACAGCTCCTCTGGGTCGGGAAAGTGACGTGCTGGAGTCTTCAGCCGTAGCTCCCACCGAGACATGGACGGAGGTAGTGAAGCGAGGGAAGGGAAGGAAAGCGGCCTCCAAGCCCGCCCCTGCTACTTCCGCAGCCAAGAGGGCCCCTGCTGTTCCCACAGCAAAAGGGAGGAAACTGGCGGCTCCCAAAACGGCGGCGGTTACGGTGACCATCACCCCCGAGGCCGCCGAAAGGGGCGAAACATACGAGTCCGTATTAACGCGGGCTCGTGCCCATGCCGATCCCACCCAGCTGGGGATTGCGGCCGTTACTTGCCGCCGA